CCTGAGACAGGGTCTTTCTCACTGGGACTTGGCCCTCACCAGTTAAACTAGGCTGGCAGGCTAGCTGGATCCAGTGCTGGGATTACAGTGCCATCTTACCTGCATTTTATGTGGGTGCTGGGGATCAGGCTCAGGTCATCATGCTTATACAGCAGGCCCTCTGTAAACTGAGCCACTGAGATGAATGTTCTTTAAACCTGCCAAACTTGTGTGTAGGAGGCCAGAGTGTAGTCAAACTAATGTTATAAGAGATGCAGAAGAAATAACTATTTTCATAGAATTTCAGTATAAGATTTACAGAACTCTGAAAAATGTACCAAAATTTCGAGTAGTAACATTAAATTACATTATGGTTTCTTTTGGGGGTTTTTTTGTCTTTTTGAGACAGGGTCTCCCTGTAGCCCCAGCTGTCCTGGATTCACTATGGAGACCAAGCTGGCCTCGAACTCACAGAGATCCGCCTGCCTCTGCCTCCTGAATGCTGGGATTAAAGGCGTGCACCACCACACCCGGCGTATTATGATTTATTTTAATGCCCTAGTAGCTTTTGGATAGGGAGATAGACTATATGAAAAGATACTAGAAGCCCATGAGTTTCCCATTGTTTTAGATCTTGTCTTTATTTCTCATTTGTAATAATATATTTTCATAATTCTTTTGATGTTCATTTTCCAATTTCTGCCTTTAATTCTATAATTTTTTAATACAGGCTGCAGAGATGTCTCAGGGGTTAAGAGTGTTGACTGTTCTAACAAAGACCCAAGTTCAGTTCCCAGCACCCACATGGCAGTTAACAACCATCCAATACTCCTCTTCCAGGAGGTCTGCCACCTTCTTCTGACTTCCAGAGTCTTTAATTAACTTGATGGTAGACAGTGAAGAATATGACTTTGAAAAGCAGTTCAGAAGGATTTCAGTGAGATGGAATAATTCCCTTATATTAGTAAAATGGTAGTTATATAACCTCTATTAAGATCTTTACTTTTCCTTTGGTACATTTAATTTTTGCCTGAAAATAAAACTTATTTTTTGGTATATGAGAAAACTGGTGTTGACTGATAACCAGCTTTAATAAATTCTGTTGTGCACAGATAAGTAGCTCTTCATTACTGTCCTTGTTATATTACCATTTTTCCCTGCATTTTTATTGAAGAGAAGCTGTGGGCCAGAAAATAATGGGAGTCAGTGTAAGCCAAAGGTGAGGGCATGTTAATGGATATTGTGCTATCTGCAAATAATAGTTCAGTTGCTTTCTAGAGTGGCAGTGGAGAAGTAGAGGAGTTGTAATGGAAGAAAATCTGCACATTGATGATTTGCCTGTATATTTTGATTCTTTTTCAACTTAGTCTTATTTAGAGCATCAATTTTTTTCAATGATACAGTAAGGAAATAAAGCAAACTCAGATTTTGGTCATAAGAATTTGGTTAAAGAATTCAGAATAAGCCAGCTATAGTGGCACATGCCTTTAATCCCAGTGCTCCAGAGGCAGAGGCAGGTGGACCTCTTTGAGATCAAGGCCATCCTGGTCTACCACATTCCAAGGCAGCTGGGACTACAGGAAGACCTTGTCTCAGGAAAAAGAGAAGAACTTCAAAAAGGAAATTGTTATAAAACTTAATTGAAGGTAAATAACTAGTTGAAAGATTCAGTTTGTTGGTTTAGAGTATTTAGACTTCGCTAAATGAGAACAAGAGCTGTCCATCTTTCTTAGAGGAAATCTTGTATTCTTTTCCCTGATCCCACTTCATTCTTTTCATTTGTCAATCCTAGCTCTGACTGCCTCACTTCTATTTTTGTGGTATCATTTAGGCTCAGCCTCCAGTAAAAAGAGTTCTTTGCCTGTTTGTGCTAATGAAACAAGGTTCTCTACTTTAGCTAATGAATGTTCTCTATTTAATCTGTACATCTTTAGCTAAAAATTGAATTACTCTAAAATATGGTGATAGACATATTTCACATGCATTTAATATGCCACATTTTTCTGCATAAAATAGTTCCCAGTGTTTTAGGGTGATTAGTCAGGCATCCAATGACCCAGACACATTGAAACTTTACTGCAACAATAATGTTTTTCTTTCATTTTTACTAAATATCAAATGTCTTTCAAGCTTCATTTTAAAAAATATTTTTATGCGTATGACTGTATTGTATGCATGTATTTAAGTGCACCCATGTCATGCAATGCCTGCAGAGGTTGGAAGAGGGCACCAGATTCCCTTGGAACTGGAGTTCCTGACAGTTGTTAACTGCCATGCGGGTACTGGGACTTGAACCCAGGTCCTTCGCAAGAGCAGCTCTTAACCCCTGGCCATCTCTCCAGTTCCTTAAAGCTTTATTAACAGAAATGTATAATTGTATCTTTTGCACATATTGTGTGCCTTTTGCCAGTACAGCAGTTCTGTGTTCCATTTGCTGCTGTTTTGTTTTGTCAGGACAGGGTCTTACTATGTAGCCCTGGCTGGCCAGGACTCAATATGTAGACCAGACTGGCCTCAAACTCAAGAGATCCACCTGCCTCTGCCTCCCAAGTACTGGGATTAAAGTCATTCACCACCACCACAACTGACCCCATCTGCTGCTTTTAAGACTGGACTTTGGATACTGTCTTTTTATTAATATATGCCTTCTCCAGTGTTTTTTCCTTTTTAAAATGTTTCTGTGTCATTTTACTTTAAGTCATCTGTTCAGACAACATTTAGCTAGTTGTGATTTTAAAAAATTTGAAGGTCTGTCTTTCAGTCAGAGACTCTAACCTATTCATATTAATGTTACATGTTTAATGATTATTATCATCATAGTTCCCTTTTTTCTTGTACTGTTCTTTCTACTTTTTATTATATTGGTAATGCCCCCACTCTAGGATTAATTTTAGTAGAAAAACCACAATATAGCTCTAGATCTGTTCTTGTGTTCAACTTCAAAATGCTAGTTTGTCAAGTTATATAATTTTAAGTTCAAAACCTTGCTTCATAACTTTGAAATTGTTAGTTATTTGTCAGGGCCTAATGTTTCCGGAAGTCCGATACCTAATTTTTTCTTTTATTTTGTAGATAATCTGATTTCTTTTTCTACTTAAGCATCTTTGATATTTTTGTTGTAAAATTTACATATAACATGTTTTAAAATAACTTTCTTCAGGATTTTTTTCTAATATTTTCTTATACCCAATTTAACTATGCCTTTCCTTCTAGAACCTTGGTAAATAGATGTTGGAAGCTACTTAGTTTTTTTCTTCAAACTTCTCAACTTTATCCTCTGTTTTCATTGCATTTTGGAAGTTTCTTTGGCTGTCCTTTGAACATGTTAATTTGTTCCTCAGCAGTGCCGGTTGTAATATACAGCCCATCCACTTAGTTAATTGTGAGAATTGTTTTCATTTTCAACATTTCTAATTGGGTCTGGGGATATATTAAAGTTCTGTAGTAGACTTGTGCTTTGCATGTAGAAGGCTCAGTATTGAGTCATTAGCAGCTACTCCCCCCACCCCTTTCTTTTTTGCCCAGATTATCTTGTTCTATCAGATACTGGTTTTCTGTTTGAGTTGGATGCATCTCTTTTCTCTGTTGACTTTCTTTTTGTGTTAGTTCTTTTTTGTATGGTCTCTTCGAAGAGGAAAGTAAGGTTATACATGTTGCCTGTGTTTTGGAAAGAGGATCATTTTATTCCTTCTGAATGACACAGCTCCGCTGCAGTCTGATTTGTGCTTCTCCTCAGTGGAGTAAGGGGATTATTGAGGTTCTTTTCGGTGCAAGCTGACAAACCATCTCCCTGATAGTTGTCCTCCTAGGGCATGCAGCTACCTACACAAGTGATTCTCAGTTGTCTTTTGTTATAGTTCTACCATATTTTCAAAGTCCTGTGGGTGTGCCCACCCCCCACCCCCAGGAAGGCTGTAGTTTTATGTTTTATGTAGGACTGCATTCATAGTCACATGTGTCCTGGGAAGCAGGTTGGACATGCTTGTTATTTATGTATCCTTGAAATATGTTTCGTGGTTTGCCCTTTGATTTATACCTGAAAGCTTTTAGAAGATGATTAAGTCTGTTTGCAAATAGATGATTTTTATTCATCTATTGATTTATGTTCTTGGTCCCTTTTATCCTCTTACATCTTGGTATTTAAAATATGCATATTTCTTGTTGACACTGGCTAACTTAAAATGTCTAGGTTATACTCCTATGTCTAATACCCAGTTTGAGTTTCTTTGTACACACACTTAAAACTATAGCTGTATACTAAAGAAAGGCAACAAAAAGTAAATGGAGAGCTTGCAAACATGCAAAAGGCCCTGGGTTTGATCTCTATACCCGTAAGTTTCTAATAAATTGTACTTTGTGCAGTCCTGAATCCGTCAACCTCTTTTATTTTGTTCTTGCGGCTTTTTGTTTCTGAGTTAGGGTCTTGCTGTGTAATAGCTCACACTGGCCTTGAACCAGTGCCTTAGTCTTTGCAGTGCTGAGATTACTGGAGCATGCCACCACACCTAGCTATGGTGACTGGTTCTCACACCCTGGAACTAGTTAAATTGCCTTGGCTGAGAAGCATGTCTTATACCCATTTGACTGGCAAACGTTAAAGATAGCAGTTTTAATGCTGGCAGAAATGATGGAGGAATTGTACTTTAAGGTATTACAGTCTTTTGGGGGGGGGTGTCTGAGTGGTTTTGAACTTTAAAAAACTATTCTATCTTCCTTTCTTTTTTTTTTTTTTTAATTTTATGTTTTTTTTGGCTCCATGTATGTATACCACATGTGTTCAGTGCCCCACAGAGGCCAGAAGAGGGCATCAGAACCCTGTTGAACTGGAGTTACAGGCACCCATGCATTTGCTGAGAACCAAACCCAGGTCTTCTGCAAGAGCAGCCAGTGCTCTTAACCACTGAACTGTCTCTCTAGTCCCTATCTTACCATATTATTTTATCAGCTTATTTAGTCACTGTGGTCTGAGTCCATTCTTGAATGCCAATTAGCAATTGATAATTGTTTCCTCTTCGTTTCAGAACTCTCTTGATAGAGCCCAAGCAGCCAAAAACAAAGGCAATAAATATTTTAAAGCAGGAAAATATGAGCAAGCTATTCAGTGTTATACTGAGGCTATTAGTCTGTGTCCTACTGAGAAGAATGTTGACCTTTCTACGTTTTATCAAAACAGAGCTGCTGCCTTTGAACAGTTGGTATGTACTCTACCCTTTAACAAAATCAGATTGTATAGAAAAGTTAATATTGTGGTAATCCTCTCCTCTTCAACAGTTTGAAACTATTTGTTGAACTTTTTGTCTCTGTATGATACATATGCAGAAGGATGAAAGAATGAGTTTCTTTTACACATATTAGTTGTGCTATATTTTTTGTTACTGCCAGGCCTTTTTGGATCTTTTTGAGACAGGGTCTCCCTGTAGCCCTAGTTGTCCTGGAACTCGCTATGTAGACCAGGCTGGCCTTGAACTCACAGAGATCTCCTGCCTCTGCCTCCTGAGTGCTGGGATTAAAGGCATGTGCCACCACCCTCAACTGTTGCTGCCAGTGTTTTATACAGCTTTTCATATCAACATATGCAAATTTTTTTAAGGCTAGCAAAGGCTGTATATAGTGCAATGATATGTTTTTATAATGGATTGATGCATAAAAATAGTGGTACCTGTGTTCTTAGCACTTAAGTGGTAGAAGATTGTGTGTTCATGGCTACCCTGAGCTACATAGTGAATTTCAAGGCAGTATGGGTTACATAGCAAGACTTTGACTTAAAAAACAACTAATTAAAATTTTTAAGAAAAGAATTTGCATTTGATTCTGAGTGTAATGGAAATATTTAAAGACTTTTAGCAAGGGAGGAATATCATCTAAGATTTCTCTCATTGCTCTGTCAAAAGTATATTGGAATCGTAAAGGGTTACAGGGAGACCAGGTAAGGATGTTGTTTGTAGTAGACCACATAGCACATAAAGGAAAACTGAAGATTGGCAGAATTTGCTATTGCTTTGGGTGTGAAAAGGTAAAGACAAGAAGTTTTAATACCAGTGGGTGGAAAAGGAGTGAGACAGCTAAGTAGATAGTTTAAGAAAGGTCTGTAATTTAACAGGGTGATCTGGGCTGGAGATAAATTTGTGAATCATCTAATTTTAGATGTTACATAAAGCCAGACAATAGATAAAGTCATCTACAGAGAGAAAAAAGATGAATGCTTGATGATTCCGACATGTAGAGAACAGGTAGAGGGGGAGAATTCAGCTAAAGAAGCTGAAAAGGAGCAGCCAGTAATGTCGTAGGTATGAAGTAAAGTGGCAGCTCTGGTGGATTGACAACGAATTGCTAAGAAGTAGGATAGTACCTGAAGATACAGGTCTGAGCACGATCACCCGTCTGATGGCTCAAGAGAAGCAGGTTGGTGCAGAGAAGGGATATTAGAAAGAGTAAAGGCTTGCCATGGAAAAAGTATAGATCCAGATCACCAGTGATGAAGAAGCTGTAGGTACAGAGCTACAGATAGGTTTTTAGGTAGAAAATTGCCTATTTTAAAAAAAAAAAATCTAGTGTGTGTCTGTATTACAGGTATTTACATAAGCCTTTGTAGCATGTTTCAGATATTTGAATTGGGAATACTTCTGTTGACTTAATACTTGGCCTGTTTAAAAAACCAGCTTCTATTAAACAGTGCTGTTTTAGTGTAACTGTTTTTAAATGCTATTCATTACAGCAAAAATGGAAGGAGGTGGCACAAGATTGTACAAAGGCTGTTGAACTCAATCCCAAATATGTGAAAGCTCTCTTTAGACGTGCAAAAGCTCATGAGAAGCTAGACAATAAGAAGGAATGTTTAGAAGGTAAGGCTGTTCTTGTGTTTGCATATGAAAGTTACTACAGGCTTCTTGGTCATTGTTATATTCATATGAAACGGTCCCTTGTACAGGAAACAGTGAATTGTCTTTCAGTGTTGGAACTGTTGCCCCAATTGAGACTCTAGATTGGAATTACTAGTTATTAAATGAGTATTGAGATTAGAGTTTAGAAACCACATATTTTAAACTTAGCAGTTACCAGTACTCATTTGTATAATTCTTTGACTAAGGAAATTAGACTAGGGTTTTTAGCAAGTTAGTGTTCACATGTTTTCATTTACTTTCTTGAATAGATATGAAATAGCTTTGAGATGAATCATTAAAGAAAACACTTTTCCCTTCATACTTCTTAACATTTTATGCACAATTGGTTCAGCTTTATGTCATTTACATTTTATAGTAATTATACCATCTGCAAAAATTAAGACTTTGGTTCAGCTTTATGTCATTTACATTTTATAGTAATTATACCATCTGCAAAGTCTTAATTTTTGCAGTCTAAAAGTACTTTCTAGTATTATTTAAGTGTCCTTTATAAACATCAAAATTTAGTCATAATTATTATTTTAATAACTTTTGGGGAGTGTTGCTAGGAATCAAACCCAAGTTTTCACTAATGCTAAGCACACTTGCCATCACTGAGCAAGTAATCCTTTTATAAAGGGAATGAGGCTTTATCTTAAAAATATTCTGGATTATCAGATGGGGGTATTTTAGAACATTTTAGAAAAAATTTGTGGGATAATGTAATTTGATGGTGGAAGGAATGTTGCTTTTAAAGGGGGATCCTGGGACAGGAGAGATGGCTCAGTGGTTAAACACTGGCTGCTCTTGAACAGGACCCAGGTTTGATTCCCAGCACCTACATGGCGGTTAACAACTGCCTGTAATTCCAGTTCCAGGGGATCTAATGCCCTCTTCTGACCCCCATGGGCATTGCATGACACAGGTGCACCTACATACATGCAAGCAATACACTCATACACATAAAATATTTTTTTAAAAGGGGGGAGAATCCTAAGTTTTGAAATAGACCTAGAAGTTACTAATAGATAATTGGCAGAGAAGAGGCTGATGATTGGAGTTTTAGATAGAAAAAAATGGGAGAGAAATAAGCAATGATGTTGTCACTAGACAAAGTTAACAGGGATGTGGAATTGTGAGAAGTATTCAAGAAGAGAAGGAACAGCCATTGCTTGAGTACTTTGAATAAATGGTTACAGGATTAAGGAACTGCTGATAGTTCAAATATTAACCCACTTTGTCTTGAGCTATGACATAAATAGTTGATAGTGGCAATTTGAGGCAGATTTAGTTGGAGTTCTATGGCAAGATAGTTTTGGAAGCAAAGAATTTGTAAGGCCTTTACAAAATAACAGATATTGCCAAAGTGAATGGCAAGCTTTATAGTTCCAGATACTTAGCTACTTAGGAGACTGAGGCAGGAGGAATAATTGGGTCCAGAAGTTTCATACCAGCCTAGGCAGCATAGCAAGGCCCTATTTCCCCCGACACACACACACACACAAAAAGGGGGTGGGGGGAACCAAACATGAGAGTCATACTATTAATTTGCTTTATGTCATTGATCAGAAGAAAATATTTCTGGAGTCCTTGTTTTCTTTGCTATCTACAGAACATTAGAGTATTGAGAAACATCAGAGGTTAAACAGTTATAAGTCACCAGTAGGGAAAACAAATCCCAGAGAAGTAAACTATTGACTTTTTTTTTTTCTTTTAAATAAATGGTCCTGTCGTGCTATGAGTTGAGTTTAGCTTTCTATAGTTAGACTGTATTCTTTGGTGTTGCTGATCATCTTCGTAAGAATTACATAATTTTACTTTTTCATCATTTCCAGATGTCACTGCTGTGTGTATATTAGAAGGCTTCCAAAATCAGCAGAGCATGCTATTAGCTGATAAAGTTCTTAAGCTTCTTGGAAAAGAGAAAGCCAAAGAAAAATACAAGGTAAATTAATATGAGTTGGGTACTACTTGCATATAGTCATTATGATAACAGCTGAAATTAGAAATGAGTTATGTTTTGGTTTTCCTGTACTCATCGACTTATAGCATATCCATTTTAAGTAAGTACAAAACTGTACTTGGAGAATTATAATTCATCTGTAATTTATGAAATGCCATGCAATGGCCCACAGACCAAATCTAATCTATTTTTATATATTTTTTATATATAGTATTAACCAGTTGCATATTGTTTGGGACTGCTTTTGAGCTGCTGTAGCAGCTCAGTTCGGTGCTTGCCATAGTTTACACATTACAGTTCCTATCCAAGGAACTATCCAAGACCTGATTTTTTTTTTATAGACAGATATTTGCCAACTCTTGTTCTGTTCATTAGTTTTTAAAGGTGTACTGTGTAAATGAGCATCAGTTTTAGGTTGTTAGTAACAATTTAATTTGACAGTTAAAGGTCTATGCTAGAGAGATCCATCCAGAGACTTGGTTCCAGTGCCAGGCATAGTGGTTCATAACGTGTACTCCCAGCACTTGGGAGGCTGACATAGGAATTTAAGGTCATCTTGGACTACAGAGTAAGTTCAAGATCAGCCTGCAGCCTGTGCTACAGAATCCTGTCTCCCTTCCCTCACAGAATTACAGTTTTTTGTTTTGGCTTTTGTCTTTTTTTGAGACAGGATCTCCTGTAGCCCCAGCTGGCCTGGTACTTAACTGTGTAGACCAGGCTGGCCTTGAACTCATAGAAATCTGCCTGCCTCTGCTTCTGCCTCTGCCTCTGGGCTGGGATTAAAGGCCCATGCTACCACACCTAGCTACAAAATTACAGCTTAATGCAGCAGTTGTTATTACAAATAAAAGACTTGAAGACCCATACAAGCTTAGCTAAAAATGACTGCAAAATTTCAGGAATATCAGGCAAATGTTCCATTTTCCATTGCTAATGACTTTCTTTTCTGTTCAGTTGTTCTTAATAATCTATATAGCTGAGCCTAGTCACACATACTTACAATTTTAACACTGAGGAAATGAAGCAAGATCACAAGGTCAAGGTGAGCTAGGCTACAAAGTGTGAGACCTTGTCTCAAAAAAAAAAAAAAAACCTTAAATGTATATATTTTTTAAGTTCCCATTTCTAAATGTTAGCAGAGTTTAACACTTAAGATAGATTTGCCACCATGCCCAGCTCTTTTTCTTTTAGATGGGGTCTTGCCATGTAGCCCTGACTAACCTAGAACTGACTGACCTCAAGTTCACAGAGAACTGCCCCCCAAATGGTGAGATTAAAGGCCTGTACCACCACAGCTGGCCAAGTTCCTTTAATATGGGGTTTTATGCTAGGCATGGTGGCACACGCCTTTAATCCCAGCACTCCGGAGGCAGAGACAGACAGATCTCTGAGTTTGAGGTCAGACTAGCCTGTTCTACATAGTGATTTCCAGGCCAGCTAGGGCTAAAGGGAGACCCTGTCTCAAAAAGACCAAAAAAAAAAAAAGATGTTTTAACATTAACATGTGATCCACCTGCCTCTGCTTGCTGAGTGCTGGAATTAAAGGCATGTACCACCACGCCTGGCCTATGTTTTTGTGTTTTCTCATTTTGAAAAACAAATATAATTAAATTTCAGAATCGTGAACCTCTGATGCCATCTCCACAGTTTATTAAATCTTACTTCAGCTCTTTTACGGATGATATAATTTCTCAGCCCATGCTTAAAGGAGAGAAGTCTGACGAAGATAAAGACAAGGAAGGAGAAGCTTTAGAAGTAAAAGAAAGGTAAGTATGCCAGGCATGCCTGGATGAATTTTTGTGCCTTCCATGAATTTTCCCTGGAACCCCAAGTGGGTTCAGAGTCACCTATGTGCAGATACAAATAAATATAATGGTAAATGATATGATGCTCTTATTATAATAAAATAACTCTTTCTAGCAGGTGTTTGTTATCTCTCTGGTACTCAAGCCTCTACCGTCAAATCTGCCGTTCTTGCAGTCCTGTGAGAGATTCTGAAAAAGGAATCCTCTTAACTTGGTGCAGTTGGACTATTTGATTAAAGTTGTTTACTTAGATTATTTTGTGGAGTTCAATATTCAAAGGCTTTAGTGCAGGATAGTTTTTAATTAATATAAGCTGATCAATGCTTAAGAGTGCTATAAATTTCTAAGATTTTTTTTTTCTACTTGTCTAAGAAAATCGCATTTTAATGACTTCTTAGGTTTCATATTGTAAAAAGCTGAAATCAAACCACACATGCTTTTATTTATGACTGGAGACCTAGTGATATATATGCCATCTAGCACACTTATCCATTCTCATCCATCAGTGCTTATGTTTGCAGTTAACTCCTAAGAGAAGGTGCAATATTATTACCAATTGTGCATGTTTTTTAGTATTTATTATTTCTATTTTATGTGTATGCGTGTATTGCCTGCATGTAGGTTAAGTGCACCCATGTCATACAGTGCCTGAGGAGGACAGAAGAGGCTGTTGGAGCCCCTGGAACTGGAGTTACAGACAGTTGTTAGCTGCCATGTGGGTGCTGGGATTTGAACCTGGGTCTTCTGCAAGAACAACCAGTGTTCTTAACAGCTGAGCCATCTCTCCAGCCCCCAATTGTGCATTTTTTAGTTTGGAAGAAAGGGAAGAAATACTGAACCTATAGTAAAGGATAACTGAGTTTTAAGGCAGTTTCTCAATAATTAACTATACCAAAATGTGTAAAATGTTGATACATAACCTTCGAAAATTGTGGTGGGGAGATAGATTTTAAGGTGTCATATACTGTTAGTAACAGTGATGCAGGTAATATTCCCTTTTGATTAGTAAATAATCCTCATCCCATAAAAACTAGTGTAAAGTTAAGAACATTGTAAGAGCTGTCTTGAGAGATGATGAGCCATTGAGCATAAACTCACAAGAGCACAACTGAGATTTCACTCTGAGCTTTAGCTTTGTTGTGTTTTAAATGAAGCTAGTGATACTTATTTTATCATTACTGTGAGATTTAGATACCTGTGTATTTAGATACCTACCACTTAACATTCTCAGTGAGAAGGAGCTTTTTACTTTCTATATGATGAATAATAGTTTCTGTTTTCTTAGTCTGACTTTAGCAACAAAATAGAGAATAATAGGTTCGTACAAAGGTAGAAGAATTTGATTCATGTAACTTTTCTTGTAAATCACTTGCCAGTTTTCTCTTTATAGAATATAACTATCAAATGAGAAATTGTACTTTGATTTACAGTGTTTTATACAGATGCTCCTTAACTAATGGTGGTGTTATGTCCCAATAAACACATCATAGGCTGAAAATTGTAAGTCAAAAATGGGCTTACTATACCTAACTGAGCATCATAACATAGCAGCAGAGTACACTGTAGCGAATCCATTTACCCTCATAATCCTGTGGGTGACTGGGAGCGGTGGCTAGCAATCCCTGTCCAGCATCATTAGAGTATTATACCACATATCTCTAGCCTAGGATAAGATTAAAATTCTGAGTATGGTTTCTACTGAAGTACATCACATTCACACCAAGTTAAAATTCAGCTGTCATAAATTGCCAGATTTCAAAGGTGCCTCAAAATGTGCAGTATAAATTTTTTTCCAGTCAAAAAAAGTGTTCAGTACCAGGCATGGTGGCACACGCCTTTAATCCAGCACTTGGGAGGCAGAGTCAGGCAGGTCTGTGAGTTCATGGCCAGCCTGGTCTATATAGTGGAGTTCCAGGCCAGTGGGGGCTACAGGGAGACCCTGACTCAAAAAGACATACATACATATGTACATACATAAAGTGTTCAGTAAGCGTCTCCAGTCATAATCATTTTAAGAGAAATCTTGTGTTCACTGTATTCTTTATTGAATTTTTGTGTATTTCATACAGAACATCTCAGTCAATCTTAATCATCTTTACACCCCCGTCACCACCAGCACCCTCCCATAGCCCCCTCATTGCTTTTTTTTTTTTTATAAGAGTATGGTTCTAGGAGGCCAGCAAGATGGCTTAGCAGGTCAAGGCCCTTACCTTGGAAGTCTAATGACCTGAAATGTGGAAAAAGAAAATGTGTGTAATATGAAGTTGTCCTCTGGTCACCACACATGCACTGTAACATACCCACCACTACCCACCTCCCATACACACACACACAAAAATTACAATTTTTTTTTTTTTTAAAGAGGGGGGAAAGCCAGGCATGGTGGCACACGCCTTTAATCCCCACACTTGGGCGGCAGAGGCAGGCAAATGTGAATTCAAGGTCAGCCTGGTCTACCTAGAGAGTTCCAGACCAGCTGGGGCTACAAGGAGACCTGTCTCAAAAAGACCAAAGACAAAAGGGGGTGGGGGGAAGAGTTGGAGAGGCAGATGGATCTCTGTGAGTTCCAGGCCAGCTGGGACCCTGTCTCCAAAACCAAAAGCAGAAGAGAGTTGGGGCATAGGGTGAGGTGGTATACACCTTTAATCCCAGCACTCGGAAGGCAAGGCAGAGGTGGTGAATATCTCTGAGATCAAATTCTAGGCAGCTGGGGTGGCGGGGGGGGTGGTGGCAATAGGAATATGAATGAGAATGAATTAGGCTGGAGAGATGGCTCAACGGGTGGGAGCACTGACTGCTCTTGCAAAGGACCCAGGTTGGATTCCCAGCACCCACATGGTGCCTAACAACTTTCTATAACTCTAGTTCCAGGGGATAAAATGCCTTCTGGCCTCTGTGGGCATAATACACGTGATACATACATGCAGGCAAAACACTTCTACGCATAAAAGTGAATGAATAAAATTTTTTAAATTTTAGGTTTTATTTGATAGAAATAATGTTTTTCATTCTCTTTTATGCTTTTTACTAATCCTAGGTCTGGTCTTTAAAATGGAACAATAAATCTAATTGAGTGTTTTCCTACTTCCAGTCTTGCTCCCTTACTCAGTCCATCCTCCACAAAACAGTGATCTGTCAAAGCACCTGGTCTTCACACCTCTGGGCTTGGCTTCTATGACACTGAACTCCCTTGATTATTTTCTGTTGCCTTGTTCTTACTTAGGCCTTATACAGCTGTTGAGTGCTATTGATACTCCACAGATAAGTGAATAAGGCGAATAAGGCAAGGTCCTTGTTGGCAGAAGAGCCTCTCATTAGCTCATCTCATACCTAAATGTCTGTGTTGGGGTCCTAAGAATCCTGCCACTCTTTCTGCTGTTTCCTCTTGAAAACTTTCTTGAAAGCATCAAGGGTGGCATATGGCCAGCACTTGGGAGGCAGAAACAGATGAATCTCTGAACTTGTGACCAGCCAGGACTATAGAGAGAGTTTCAGGACAGCCAGAGCTAAATTGTGAGACCCTGTCTAAAAAGAAAGAAAGAAAATCTCACTGGTTCAGAAATCCTAGTTATAGTGGGAAATGGCGATTTAATGTGTCTTATGTGGCAAGTCTTAGCATTTGGTCCTTCCCTAGTAATTTAATTTCCTATGTTTGCTTTCATCTTCAGTACTGGATATTTAAAAGCCAAACAGTATATGGAAGAAGAAAATTATGATAAAATCATAAGTGAATGCTCAAAGGAAATAGATTCTCAAAGTAAATATATGGCCGAAGCATTACTTCTACGAGCTACCTTCTACCTGCTTATTGGCAATGCCAACGCAGCCAAACCTGACTTAGATAAGGTCATCAGTTTGAAAGAGGCTAATGTGAAGGTACATTTGAAACGTGCGTGCATGTGAAAATGTTAATAAATGGACATGATTACTTTTATATAGTTGCTTTACCAAATATCTTAGCATTTTACTAGTGGTTCTCTTAAAGACTACTTTTGATTTTGAAGAATCTACATTTGATGATACTGGTGTAGTGAATCTGAAATGTAAATATCAGTAATACTTTTCTTCCACTAAACATTTAGTACTTTCAAACTCCCCTTGTGGCTACTGCCTACCTTACTAGATTATATTTGGGTAGTGATAACAGTAAAACATCAATATTGTTGATAATACTGTTTTAAATATTTGTTTAAAATCCTTTAAAAATTAGATTTTCATATTGAAGATACCCCTCATAGAATTGTCCTTAAAATGTTTTTTCATGCTGATTTCCTTATTACTAAAACTATTATATTTTGCTGTTAGAAGATTTTCTTTAAAATAGTGGGGACACTCTTCTATTATATATAAGTAAAAATGATGTGTATGTCGTAGTACCTTAAAGAAGCCTATTTTCCTGATTATGACTTCTATCTCTAATGGCAATTTGGTAATAGTATCTACTCTGTACTGTGTATAAAACTAACCTCAAATAAATCTGAGACCTAAATGTAATAAGAACTTAAAAAATTTAGAAGACAAAGGAATAAGGAATAAATATTTGTTATCTTGTATTAGGAAAGCATTCCTAAGATAAGACATCTAAAATCTAACTTTTTAAAAAAAAGAGCCAACAAGATGCCTCAGCCCATCAAGTTACTTGTTGCTAAGGCGGACAACTTGAGTTCAGTCCCTGGAACCCACATAGTGGGAGGAAAGAATGGTCTCATGCAACTTGTCCTCTGAGCTCCACACACATGCTGTCTCACACATTTGTATATACACACAGAGAGAGTAAATAAATGAATGGTTTTTTTTGTTGTTTTTTTTTTAATAATAAATGCTTTTGAGCCAGGCATGTTGGCTTGTACCTATAATCTCAGCACTTGGGCAGCTGGGACAGGAAGATTACCAAGAATTCATGCTGAGCCTGGGCTACAAAGTGAAACCCTGTCTCAAAAAGGATTAAAAGCTTTTTTTCTTGAAAGGACAATATCAAAAATCTGAAGACAGCCTCTGCAGAATAGAAGAAAATATTCCTATATCATTTGTATGATAAAGACTTTGTAATCCAGAATAAAATCTCCCAGAGCCCCAAAGTGAAAAGACCACCTGATTTTAAAATGCACAAGAGATTCAGTCATTTTATGTACAAATAACCAATAATATGAAAAAAGTGCCTCAGCAGCATTTACTCATTAGGACAATGTCAATCAAAACTACAGTGTCAAAACTACTGCCACAGCTATAATTTTAAAGTATATATGTTGAAAGCACAGAAAATAAGACTATAAGTCAAAAACATGAATTATGACAAGTGCTAGTAAAAATGTAGGGAAATTGGAACTCTGAATTGCTGGTGGGAATATAAAGTGGTAAATACTCTTTGTAATTAGTTTGGCAGTTCTTTAAAAACTTAAAATGTAAAGTTACAATGTAATTTATTCATTCTACATCTAAAGAATTGAAGACGTGTACCTGAATATTCACAACATTTTTAGTCATGATAAGCAAAAGGTAGAAGCAACCTAAATGTCCCAACTGATGAATAGATAAATAAAATGTGGGAGGTGGTATGTGTATGTCATATATATTCTGGTGTGTGTGTGTGTATAGTACATACTATAATATTTTTCTGCCATAAAAAGGGAGTATTATATTCCACATAAGTGAACTTTGAAAACATGCTAAATGAAAGACAAAAGAGCCATACAATTTATGAAAGGTTCAAAATACACAAATCCATGGAAATGGACAGGAGATTTGGTTTGGGGGTCTTGAGGTTAGTGGGGATAGGGAGTAAGACTGCTTGTGTATGTGGGTTCTTTAGGTGTAATGAAAATGTTCTGAAATTTGTTGTGATCAGTGTGTGACTTAGTGAATGTGCTAATGTGCACATACACTTTCAAAGAGTGAACTTTATAGTATTCATTACAGCAATTTAGTTTTTAAAAGAAAACTAAATTGGATAAAAAAAGAAGTAATGGGGAACTGTTTCTCATTTTGGTTGTGTAGCTTCGAGCAAATGCCCTTATCAAAAGAGGCAGCATGTACATGCAGCAGCAGCAGCCTTTGCTGTCTACTCAGGATTTCAACATGGCCGCTGACATCGATCCACAAAATGCAGATGTTTACCACCACAGAGGACAGGTAAATCTTACTTTCTTACCTAGAATTCTGGCTGAGCTAGTTGATAACCACTTTTCACAATTTTGTGATGTTTTCTTATATCATTTTTGATAGCTGTGAATTGAGTGGTTTACAGATTAGCTTTTATTTCCATCTTGAATATTTTTCTTCATAATTTTGGTATTTAGTTGTAGAAATAAAAGAAAAAGAAGGCAAAAAGACGTTGGCTTGGCTGGCAGATCAGTTAAAAGATTTATTTTTACTTATGTGTGTATGTCTGTGTGCGTGTACGTGCACATGAGGGAAGGCATCAGATTCCCCTGGAGCTGAAGTTACAGACTATTGTGACCCTCCCAATATGGGTGTTAGGAAGTGAAGTCAAGTACTCTGCAACAGCAGTATAAGTTATTAACTGCTGAGCCATCTCTGTAGCCCTCAGTAGCATGATTTTTGCAGACTTTTTACTGTAAGGAAGTACTAACCTGGACGTAAATCTCCTGGAATTTTGAAACAGGCATGGAGAAAATAGCTCACAGTTAACAGCATAATGTGGAGAGAACATGGGTTTCTAATTTGTTAAACTAGGCTTCTTAGACTGCAGTATAGTGGAAAATAGGAACAATTCCTGTAATAAGTGATAAAATAGAAGTTTTGTTTGTTTAAGACCAGGATCTCACCATATAGTCTCAAGCTGATCTTGAGTTCACAACCCTCGTGCCTTAGCAGTCTGAGTGCTGGGATTATGACTATGCTCCACTATGCCTGACTTGAAGTTCTTCCTGAAGGAGAATTTTACCTAATATTTCTTTCTGAAAGGTGTTAGGAAGTGTTGAGATAAACTTTTAAAAATTCTTGACACTTTTAGTATCTTGAGATTAATTTGAATGGTAATTGAATGTTCAACCTACTTTGAAATTAAATACACAGTTTTTAATTTTTTACATTTCTTGCTTAACTTCAGTCAAAATTGCAATGAAGAAAATGAACTAGCATCTTCTGCTTATTTTTGTGTGTATGAATGTTTTGCCTGCCTGTACGTAAGTTCACCTGTGTATGCAGTGCCCACAGAGGCCAGAGGAGGACATTGGATTCCCTGGAACTGGAGTTACAGAAGGTTGTTAGCCACTATGTGGGTCCTGGGAACCAGACCCTGGTTCTGTGCAGGAGTAGCCAGTGCTCTTTAACCTCTGAGCCATGTCACCAGCTGCCATCTTTTATTTTTAAATCAGATACCAGTTTTAAGTTTTTGGTATATTTGCTTTAAACTAGAAATTTCCCCGAAGTTCTTTTTTTCTACAAAGTGATTTTTATATTGAATAGTTACTACATGATGAGCATTAACTGACAACAGGGGAGAGAAATGGAACAAACTTAAATAGTGAACCTTTTATTTTTATTGCATTTATTTATGTATTCTTTCCTTAGCTGAAGATTCTGCTTGATCTAATTGGAGAAGCAGTGGCAGATTTTGATGAATGTATTAGATTAAGACCTGAGTCTGCTCTGGCACAAGCTCAGAAATGTTTTGCATTGGTAGGTGCTATTTTAATTTGTAATCTGCACACATCATTTTTATTCCCAGTATCAACAAAATCAACAAAATGATTATCTCACTGTTTCTAGAATCACCTGGTTTCCCCTCAAAGTGGTGATTATGGGATGTCGGGGGAGGGTCATTTAAAAGTACATGTTAATTGGTTTGTGGCCCCCAGTGCTGACCTTGAACTCACAGTCCTCCTGCCTCAGTCTCTCAGATGCTGGGATTACAGGTGTGCAGTGTACACACAGCTCTGAGTTCATCTTGATAACGGTTAGTTCCTGAGTTTGTAACGGAACTGTTTCTCTACAGTGAGCTAGTATAAAAGATTCAAAAACAATTTGAGAAAATGGTGTATAATCATGACACCATCTAACTACTCCTGTTTATCCTATGGCCAGTCCTAAAGTAATTTTCCCTCTAAAGAAAGAGTTTGTATCATAAATTTTTATATTACAGATTAAAAATGAAAAAAAATCATACTATATTAAAAAGTCTGTAGCTGCAAGTATAGCTTAGTGATACAGTACCTGCCTAGCCTATCTAAAGCCCTGAGTTTGATTTTACTATTGTAGAAAAAAATAAATAAAAATTACCCCTGCTGTATACATAGTTACCTTCTTAGGAGTCAATCTGTTTTCTTCTAGAATATTGAATATCCTGAAATTACATAGTGGCTGTGAAGTTCTCTTTGACATAGTTATTTGATTCCCTTTTGGTGATTTGTTTCCTTGGAATTTTGGGTGATGCAAGAAAATATGTAAGATTCCCCAAGTTTTTGAGTTCTTGATTTGACTTCCCATTTTGGTTTTTAAATAGTATCGCCAGGCATATACAGGAAACAATTCTTCACAAATCCAGGCAGCTATGAAGGGTTTTGAAGAGGTCATAAAGAAATTTCCAAGATGTGCTGAAGGCTATGCACTCTATGCTCAAGTAAGTGTAATTTTGGGGTTTTTTGTTTTGTTTTTGTTTTTTAAGAGCTGCATTTGTAAGCTGAATCCCAGTATAGAATTGTGCTACACTGGCCACAATTTCTGGCAAAGAGGGGTACTTTGTTTCTGCTTTGATTGTCAAGGCCCATAGCATGGTCTTGAATTAACTACAGGAAGAGCGCCTGTTATGGAAACCATGACCTTGAACTCATGGTAGAGAAGCGTTAGGCAAGCATTTCTCTCATGTTTTTGGTTGAACTGATAAAAAACTTAATTCTGTGTAATTAAATGGGGGAAATATCCATGGAGTGGGGTCTTTCTGTTTGATCAATGCCCTTTAAATGAGTAACTAGGCTGCAGCAGCTTATTGTAATTTCTCTTTGGTTTGTCAAGATCTGACATTTTCGTAATTTGTTTTTTAATTAGTATACAAAGTAAGGGGGTTTGTCATACCATTTTCATGCATAATTTATTTCTGTTGATCATCCCGTTCCCCTGGATCTTCTTGTACCCTTCCACCGCCATCAGTCCCTTTTCTGTTCACATGTACTCTGTAGCCCTCTTCCCTTCCTTAGAACCTCTTTTTACTCTCTTGTGGTCTCATTCCAAGTTTCATGACTTGTTCCCACACTTAACACACACACATACAAACTCATAAAAATTAAAAGGTAGGATCTGTATGTGAGAGAAACATGATATTTGTCTTTCTAAGGCCAAGTTATGTCATTTAATAAAATAGTATCCAAATCATCTATTTTCCTACAAATTAAAAAGAAAACAGGAAACGCTTCATGAATTTACATGTCATTCTTGCACAGGGAACATAGTAATCTTTTCTAAATCATTCTGATTTAGTATACATACTGCTAAAGTGAGCATGGTCTAAAAGTCTTGAAGCTTTATTGGTTTAGAGTTGAAGTTATAGAAGGCAGGATTTAAACCTAAATTAAGTTTTATTCTAATCTGAAATTCATGAAAACATTAATTTCTTTTTCATTAGTTTTACTATTTTTTTTCCAAAGGTTTTTTTTTAAATCATTTATTCAATAACCACATAATTAGAAGAAGCATTTCATTACAACAGCATTGACATATTCACTAACAATTTCCAGAGCTAAGATGCATCTCTTTCAAAAGTGGCTGTAAATTTTTAGGTTTACAGTTGAATTAATAATTATACAATATTTTTCTCAGTATAAACCCTATAAGACATAAAATTGAGGTTTTAATCTTTAAAAAAATTTCTATTTCATTATTAAAATACACAGTTTCATACAGAAAAATTCATTTTTAATGCAATTAACACTTAGATGTTTGCACATGCATTTCTAATCTCTATATATCTGATTATTACTAGTCACAGTCGGTTACTTTCTGAGCTTCTTGGCATCTAAATGT